ATATATATATTTATAGGAAAGATTTTCTTGAAGTATCATAAATATGTATTTAGCTACATACAAATTTGAAAATAATTTTCTTGAAATATCAAAATAATTATATAGGACGCTCCAGCATGATGATTGATGTGCAAAAAGTTTTGCCATTCTAGCAATCAACTTGAGATTCTAATTCTGTATAATTATTTTGATGATATAACAAAATTATTTTCAGATCAATATCTACATTTTTAGATATTTCAGCAAAATCATTCTTTTATGAATTCTCAAATATAAGATCAATTAGGAATGTTTTCTATTTTGTAAGTCGACAGTTACAAACGTTATTTTGTCTTTCTTGATGTGAGTAACAAGGACAGAACGATACAATCGATTTATGTCATTAAAATGAAAGCATGTTTTCAACCATGTCTTTAATCGAAAAGATAATAATAGCGATAATTCGTATAAAGTCATTGTTATGACTGCATCTTATATCTTTAATACTTATTCAAAATGGCAGTAATGACACTAATTATGCATACCTTTTGAACAAAATTATTAACCTATCGACAAAACGGCATTATAACTTTATATCGAAGTGTAAATTACTGATTGGAAACACAAGTAACTCAATTGTCAATACGTCTGCGATACATTATAAATATAATATAATTTTATGTCGATGTGTATTAATTAACAATTGGAAACACAAGTAAATTAACTTAATTATACATTCTCGATATATCATTATAAATATAATGATCATTATGAATATAAATTAAAAACCTATGAATATAAATTGAATATATAAATTGAATATAAAAACATTTTGATGGCAATATTTGAAATAATAACTTGCGATTTAGACATCGCTTCATGTTCTTATCTTCATTATATAATCAAGGAGGATGATATTTGGCAGTTTATTGTCGTGATTTATGGGAAAAGAATCGACAGGCAAAAGCTATAAAGAATATATTATCCTTACATTCCTAACACAGATAACGTCTCCAGGATATGTCGATAGCACAATAATATAGCGAAATTATCCGGGGATGGCATTAGCGTAGCATTGTCGTAATAAAATATCCGAGTAGCATTATCGACCTAACATTGTAGAAGTAATAAGTAATAAGTCGTCGGGGAATAGGCAAGAATAATCATGGACTAAGTGGAAAATGGCGTCACGAAGGAGTTATACACGGAGCTCGAGAAGGAACGAGCGAGAAGAGGAAGAGGAGGAGGAAGACGAGAAGCGACCAGCGGAGGAATAGGACTGAAGGAGAAGAAAGAGAGGGGGCAGAGGAAGTGAAGCGAATTAGCGAAGGTATACGACCGAAAAGGAGGCCACGATCGTTCGAGTAAACAAGTGTCTTGGCCGCGACTCGAGAGACCAGTTCCACCTTCCTTCTTCTCCTCATCCTTCTCCTCCTTCTCGTCTTTCTTCTCCTTGTCTTTTCTCCAAGTCCTGTCGCTGTGGCCTTTAACGCGTATGCGAGAGGTAATCGGCTCCAGAATTAACGTTACCATTCTGGATACCGCGATAGCCGATGATCGCGATGCAGAATTGTCGCAACAAATGGAATGGATATGCGAGGCAAAGTCGGAGGCTACTTCTTGTCAAAGACTCGTGACCACTCGTGTGAGGCACAAAGCAGCAAATTCGGTAGTTCTCGAAATCATGGTATTTCACCGAGAGAACGGTGTGACAAACAAAGCTTCTATTGTCTGGACGCGAAAAATTGTATAAATCAGGCTTGCCACAAAACTGGAAATCAGGGAATTGTCCGGGAATTTTGAAAATCCTTAACTTTAAAGAAATTTAATGTGTATCACACAATTTTGAAATACTACTTAATAATTAAACTTAATAATTAAATATGCGAGTCAGCAACATTAATAATAATTTACATCGCTATATTAAATTGACTTCTAAACAAAATATTTAATTTCCAAAGGATGAAAATACAAAAAAAATTTCGAAATATTCAAAAGACATTTCAAAATATTATTAAAAGTTGGTGAAAATTACAAAATTTTGTCTGGAAATCAGGAAAAAATTATGGAATTTTAAGATAAGAACTTGTAACAACTAGATTTCATGTATTTCTTTTATCCTCGCTACACTATGCTTGCTCAAAAGAAAAAAGATTCGCGCTAGGGCATAGTATATTTGCTAAAAAGATTTTTTCAACCGAGATTTGAATTTTATAAAATACAATGACTCAACGCGCTGATAGTATGACAACCGCGAATGCAAAAATCGCAATGTGATTCATCTAACAGCTGCTATGAATTCAAGATTGAAGCGGTAAATCAAAACATCTAGTGATTATTTATGCAATATTGCATCACAGAGCGATAGTAAGAAACAGCTTGCTGTGATTTACGATATTTATAAAGTTATTCGCGGCTTTCTTTAATGTATATAATAAGCGGACTTTTTCAATAGATAATACTCGAGCTTTTCTTTCGGTCCAGTAACATATGAGGGAATATGTATTTAACGGTTAGTTAATAATCGACCCGCTCTTAACCCCCGTTACACGTTACAATCCAGGATTGAGTCCTGCCGAGGTCATGCAGGGAGGATTATAGAATTGAATCATTATCCGGCTAATGAAAGTTTTCATTCGCAGTAACCTCGGCATGAAAAACAGATGAAAAAACGAAAAGTCCGAGCTATACGCGGTTACATTTCGCTTCTTGATCCTTTGTAGCAAACATGATATCTCTTTGTCTCTTTTTCTCTCTTTCTTCCTCTCTCTCTCTCTCTTGTTGTAGATCAACTTTGCGCATGTTATTAAATATTCTGTTTTCCAATTTTAATTTTTTTCTATTTTTCTATTTTGTTTTCTTTATCTTTATTTTTTTTAATAATTTTATTGTATGTATTTGCTTTCAATTATTCTTATTTTGTTGCTCAATAAGATATTGTTTTTAGCGCTCGAGAGAGAATTCGATTCTAGAGCGTTTAATAATTAACGATTTCTCTCTCTCTCTCTCTCTCTCTCTCTCTCTCTCTCTCAAGATCAAGGCTTCGTGATATTAGCGTGATTACCGCATAAGAAAATAATCTGGGTTAGTGCGAAGCATGTGTACATATCACGCGCGTGAAAACGGTGTGTATGTGATGCGTGCATGTATAATGTGCGTGTATGTGTTACAGGTCGTACATGTGGTTTCGCGGTAGATATATGCTGCATGTGTGTGTGTGTGTGTGTGTGTGTGTGTGTGTGTGTGTGTGTGCGTGCGTGCGTGTGTGTGTGCGTGCGTGTGTGTGTGCGTGCGTGTGTGTGTATGCGTTACATACGGCCATCCGAATGCCGATACCGCTCGATCAGATCGAACGGCCAGCCGATCGAGCCGAGTCTCGGCCATGTGAGTCAGTAAGACGTTTGCTCCGCATGCCACACCCGCAACGCATTGTGTGGATTCCGTTTGTCGTGCCACACGATGCAACGTGTTCTTTAAGATTTCAATGCCAATTTTTCCTGCAAGGTGAACGATCACTTTGCGATAAAATGCTTCTTGATAGTTTTCCACTTTTTAAATTTGTCTTGAATTTTTGGAAGAACTGAAAGATATTTTTTTCGCGAAATCAATTTTAGCGCTTTTACGCTCATTCATATAAT